ATCCATATATATACAAAGACCAAAGAAATGTTCTATATATTTAATAAATGTTTTTTGATTTCAAAGTCAGTCATGATCACAACCTGTTTTTTTTCTGCTTAAAGTATCACACGAAGTGTTTGGCCTGTCAATCAAAATCACTTGACGCTGTATGTACTGCAGTATTCTATATGAAAGTAGTTCGAAATGATCTTTCGGTAAATTTTGATTCAACAAAGAGGTATAGCGCCCTTTCCCAGCATTTCGCATACTACCATGTTTTAAATGGAAAGTACCTATTGCTATAAATAGATTTACTTGATGCATATGCTGTATTGAAATTAGGAAACTAGCTTTGTGAAATACATGTACAGATACGGAACTATGTTTACATGTAAATTATATAAATTAAATATTTCTGGGTAAACCTATGCTCTGATTCGGGCTATAAATTCAAGACAAATACTTTCACACTGTATAGGAGATATTTCTCTTTTATTACTCCACAATCAGCCTCTCTGCGTACTAGTATTTGCATACATCAAACTACATCACTTTAATCAAATCAAAACATGTACATTTTTTCATAATTTTGATATTTTTAATCTGTTTGACATTTTACAGAATTATATTTTTTCTTGACTGTTTTCAAGATTTTTGTTCTATGGCCCAAATCACTATTCGTTTAGGGAACTACTGCTGCATCTTATCTATCCACTTTTTCTCTTCATGTGTCTTTTCTTCCAAAATGGCTGAAAATCCTATGTTATTATAAGTCCAGGTAACGTTCTATATGGTACATAGATAGGTTGAAACAATTATGTATAGATCTTTGTGTTTATTTCTGATGTGTATATTGATATTATGTGGAAAATATGATGATTAAAAATGAACTAGCTTAAGTAAAAAAAAAATTAAATATGTATTAATAACAATAGCTATCATAAATATAAATCCCTCCCCCCCCCCCCCCCCAAAATGAAATTGGGGGATTGAACCGTAGACCCAAGCACAAGAAGAGTTCAGCGTACACCGCTAGGCTACGCACACTACTATGAATTGCCGTGTCTTTTGTGTATATATAACCCCATGATTTATGTATATATAACCCCATGTTAGAGTCTTTCGGAAAATTGGATAACTGAAGTTTAAAATCAGCTTTTGATATAAAGACCAAGTTAAGCCAGAATGATTTCAATGTAACAGTATACATGTACCATGAAAAAAAAAAAAAAAAAAAAAAAAAAAAAAAAAAAAAACATTAAAGATTTGTCTAGTTCAAGTTGGTTCAAATACATTAATCTGTATTTTTTCAATGCCGATTCAATAATTCTCCGTATATCCCATGCAAAATATGTAAATTTCATTGATTTTGTTTGAAATAATTATGACTTTTTTGCTAGGTACTGGAATAATTTGTATTTGCTCATAGCTAGATTAACTAGATATAATAAAATATTGAAATATTTTGAATGTTTGTAAATGCACTATACATGTTGTAGGCCATGTCGTATACTAAGTGCGCTATACCTGTTTTGAAATAAAATAAAATGAAATAGGGACATGGGTAAAGGGTTAGAAGGTGCTGTGTGTTTATCAAACCTTTCAAATTCTTGCGTCTTGATCATATCTCTGTATTTTAAACTTCAATTGCTAAATAAGTAATTGAATAATCTTTCTTATAGTTATGTCTTTGTTGGTATGCTGTCAAATCATGATATCATTATTTTACAAAACTCAGTGACTTTAAGTTTAATGTTTACGAAATCATTATATGCAAATAAGCAAATCATCATCGAATTCAGAAAAAAAGGGGGGGGGGGTCTTACTTAGATCAAACAGCATTCATAATAGCTTGGAAAGGAACTGAGATAAGGAAGCTGACCCGTCTGCAGCACAGCTATATATATTCGCTAGTTTGTTTGTGTAGGCCCCCCTTTCATGATTACTATAAATATTTTGTTTTTTTAAAACCGGTAAAGGTGGAATATATTATTCTTGATCCATACCCTTATATTTTTTTATATCACCATCACAATATGCGGCGATCTTTGCCAGAACATAAATGTGCACTGAAAATATGACAAATATCCTTAAATGTACTCATTTCTTTTTTTTATCATTTAAATGTTTGCAAACAACTTTTTTAAATGCCACTCATCGTAGTTTTAATCCAATGTGTAAGGCGTGTCACACAAGCCGGAATATATACATGTACATATATTGAATGGAGTTGCAAAAGTTACTGAAAAAAACGCTACATTCCATACAGATTTCTTTGAATATTTTTTTATGATATACATATAGCTATCCATAGGTATACAAGATATTGGTCATGAAAATCAAAGTACCTTAAGTACTGAAAGGGTATTTTCTAGTTAATTCTTTCTTTCACCGTTAATATTGTATGTACAGTATATGTTTTTTTTTCTACATAGAAAAAAGCGAATTCTTACTGATTAATATAGAAGAACGGAAGACCTTTTTGTTGCCATAGCAACAAGAGTCTAGTTTCCTATATATTCCGATGTAAAACTTTGATCGTCCACTGTGGCCCCATCCTACCCCCGGGGGTCATGATTTTAACAAATTTAAATCTACACTACCTGACGATGATTCCATATGAGTTTCATCTTTCCTGGCCCATTGGTTCTCGAGAAGATTTTTAAAAGATGCCATTAATTTTTCACTATTTTGAAATAATCTCCCCTTGGAAGAGGCCGTGGCCCTTCATTTGAAGAAACTTGAATCCCCTTTACCCAAGGATACTCTGTGCCAAGTTTAGTTGAAATTGGCCCAGTGGTTCTGGAGAAGAAGATGACATTGTGAAAAGTTAACGACAACAACAACGCCAACGGCGACAGACAACGGACAAATTTTGATCAGAAAAGCTCACTTGAGCCTTCGGCTCAGGTGAGCTAAAAATCAACAACAAATAAAAACTAGGCATATTCCAAAAGGTTTTAACCTAAACATGCATGTAAAACTCCATCGTACCAACTGTCTGGAGTCTTTTTAAGAAACTTGGACCTTATGAAATATTCTTTAAAACTATAATAATATCAAGAACTAGAAACTCATTGTGAGCAATGAGAGGTCTTCCGTCCGATTCTGAAAATAAAAACGTTAATTCAAGATTAAAAGGTGTTAAAAGAAATTCAGACACTCTGGAGATTTAACCTTGGTCGTCAGCCTGTCACGATCGGAAGTAACGGCGATACAAGATTTTCTCGCGATTCAAATAAACTGATGACTGACTATCAGTCCTGAAAGTTTTAGACTTCAGTGGTTTACTGTTGCTGAGCAATATTGTGAGAACAAATTCTTATTTTGAGGACAGGTAAACAAGCGACCGGAAGTGAATTTTATAAAAAAAAAAAATCTCTGACGTTTCTTTAGACATTTGCAGTATCTACAAAATGCATAAAAACATTTCAAGTACTTTATCGATAAGTAATATTTATGAGAAGTTAAATATCGAAATAACGTAGTTTATCACCTAAAACTGGAAGTTGACGTTTTTGTTTCGGGTGGAATCTAACATATTTCAAAACAGCGAAAGAGATGCAATAAAGTGATGCAAACTTTAATTTAAAAAGAAAAGTTAAAATTTTTGATTGCTTTGATCACTTCCTGTGACAAGCGGAAGTTACAACTGACGCGTTTAACCAAAATGGTTTTGCCTACTCCTCAAGGTCTGTTACTCATAAAAATTTGGTGTTTTAATCTTTTACCTGTTTTTGAGATCTCGCTCAGACAACTTCTCATTTTGAGGACAGAAAAACTTGCAACTGGAAGTGAATTTTTTGAAAGATATTTGAGGTTACTTTAGACATTTGCAGTCCGAATAACATATTTAAAATTCATTTCAAATACTTTATCTATAAAGAATATTTATTGGAAAGTAAAATAATCAAATTATTTAGTTTTTCTCTTATAACCGGAAGTTGTTGTTTTTGTTTCCGGTGGGACCAACATCTTTCGAATCTGCGAAAAAGATGCAATAAAGTGATGCAATTTTTAACTAAAAACAGAAAAAATTAAATTTTCGATTTCTTTGATCACTTCTGTGGAGACGGAAGACCTTAATTATTTACACGATTTACATTTTATGCTCGTCCATACAATTACCACCTAACATTAATGTTAAAATGACATCTCTAATGATTGAAAATTTAATTGGCGAACAATTGACCACTTCACCCGTCCAATTCACTGTGTTTCACAATTGTCGATTTTCTGGAATCAAAAATTACCTAGGGCAGCTTACTGTCTTATCTGGTCTACCTTAGCTCTGTGTGCACTGACGCGAAATTTTGTTCCTAGGTGCGTTGTAAAAATAACCGTGACAAAGAAAACACAAGATATGTCCATTGCTAAATAATGATTTCTAAACTTAAAAAATTTCTTTTTCGCCTCTTCATAAAAAAAATGTTGAAAATGTTTTTAGCTTCAGAATTCGACGATCGCCAAGTCAATTTAAAATGGTCGCCAATTTGGCGACTTATAGAATAATTTTAGGTGCCAATCAAAATGTTTAGGTGCCATGGCGACTAAATTAGTCGCCAATTAGAGCCCTGTTAATAATATAATATACAAAAGTGTGTCGCGTCTCTGCAGTCTTCTCTAGGTCTTTTTACGGACAAATTATGGAATTGGATTCCTCTTGAGAGTGGGAGTTTAATGTACACATGTATCGGTAATATGAGTTATTGTTCTTGGCTCCCATTGGTGGGGTACCTTTGTCTTTGTCAACCATCACTTCTCCACTCTGATAGATGCCTTTAGATGCAGTCCCAGTTTGCACCTAATAGAGAATAGTTGTGTGGGCTTTTTTTTGTTTTGATAGGCCTTGTATCCATATATAATTGTTTAACTATTCTAACACTGCAGTTCACACACAGATGTTATCTATATCTTTGTGAACATTTCCTGAATTTATGATAGGTATTTGTTTTACACTACTCATCTCTTTTCCAGTTTTTTCAATAATTCTAGTAAATTATCAGAAAATTCGAAAATTGACTAAAAATTTTTATTTTTTATCTATATCATACTCAAAATCATATTAAAATTCATAGAACATTCTAGCACATGTGCAAAATTATGAGGAGCTACACATACCTACGACTGACAATTAAATAACTAACACATGCCATCTAAATTTTGATAAGGAAAAGCCTACGGCCTAGGTGAGCCTTTATCAATCAATTTAATTGACATTTAATTTATTTTTTTTTAAACCTCATTTTACGTATATTTTGTTGTGGATACAATAAATATAGTTTTTTTCCCTTTAAAATATGTGAATTTGGAGACCTATATGAAACCAAAACATTTTCCAGTTACTGTACATAAAATTGTGCAATAATCAAATATTTCAGTCTTGTCAGAATTTTAACATCTCATCATCTTTTACCTAGCTGCTGTTTCATGCTTCGGATTGTATCAACTAACTGTTTATCACTTGGTCCACACTTGGATAAAACAAAACTTAATTCCTCCTCACTGTGATTTTCAAATGCTGTCTCTGCTGCTTTTTTCTTTTCCCTGCACAAAAAAGATACACAATTTTGTTTATTCAAAGTTATTTAATTTTTTTTATTAAAATTTGTGCATATAAGGAAGAATGTAGTTTCGTTCATTGCTTTTGGCACAGGAAATCTCCATAAACAAAAAAATTTGCATGGGTTTATTTATGAAAAAAATCCCCTTCTCAAAATTTTGTTATTACAGACAAGCATAGTCCTTGAAAAAGACTTTTTTGGAAACAGCTAGTTTAACAAGAGGACCAAGGGTCTTAACGGTCACCTGAGTATAATGTAACGATCATCCATAGATTCAAACAAAATAAGCTGATAAATAAAGTTTTGTTGCCCAAAACCAAGAGAAATTGGATAATCAGGGATCAGCAAAATACTAATTTAGTACTCAACAACAAATCTTAAAAGTTGATCTATTTATTTGCCTGTATTTTCCCCCATTTGTCACTATCCTCATGCGGACTAAACAAAACAAGAGTTCTACAGCACTATCAGTTAACTCATTTCATTCCCCATTGCATTGGCCTCTCTTGCTCTTTAAAGATTATTTATTGTACAAAGATATGGTATTTTTGTACCATTTTCATTTATCTATTATTTAAAACTTTTCCCCACCATTAAAAGCTATAACAGTACTTTTGTATTTTGAAATATTATAAAATTTCTTGTATAATTCTGTTATTCAATTGTCCTTTTAATTTACATTATTTATAGTGATTAACTATTATAGGTGAATAGCAAAGGGGAATAACTTCTTTCAGTAGGAATCAATAAATTGACCAAAGGGTACAGAATTTCAAAATCTGGTAAAAACATCCCTGCTTATTACAAATTTAAATACTCTATTTGCCTCCTAGATGCCCAGGAGCAGAGAAGATTTTCAAGGAAATAATCCATTTTCACTATAGATTCAATATAGCCCCACCCTAATACCAAAGCCCCTGTCCAAGGGGCCAATATAAACACAATTTTGAAAGAGTTGCCCTTGCTCATCATAACTATATACTTGGTAAATATACCTAGGGACAGAAAAGTAGATTTCAAAGAAACAATGCACTTTCACTACTTAATACCTAGGAGCAGAGATGAAGATTTTCAAAGAAATACTGCACTTTCACTATATAATCAATAGAGCCCCCCCCCCCCCTATTCTGGAGAACCCCTGACCCAGGGGCCATGAAATTCACAATTTTGGAAGAGGCACCATTGACCATCATAACCATGCACCTAGTTTATCTGCTTTGTATAAAGGGGGAGAGACAAAGATTTTTAAAAAATTAATGCATTTTTATTATATGATCAATAGAGCCCAACCCTAAAACCAGAACCCTTGACCCACGGGCCAAGATATTCATAATTTTGAAAGAGGCACCCTTGCTCATCATAACTAGGAGCAGAGAAGATTTTTGAAGAAACAATGCACTTTCACTATATAATCAATAGACCCCCCCCCCCCCCCCCCCCTTCACAGAACCCTTCATCCTGGGGCCAGAAATTTTACAATTTTGGAAGAGGCACCCTTGATCATCATAATCATGCATCTAGTTTATCTTCTTTATATACAGGGGGAGAAGAAGTTTTTTAAAGAATTTATGCATTTTCACTATATGATCAATAGAGCCCACCCTAACACCAGAACTCCTGACTCAGGGACCATGAAATTCACAATTTTAATGCATTTTCACTAAATAATCAATAGAGCCCTGTCCTAACACCAGAACCCCTGACCCAGTGGCCATGAAATTCACAACTTTGGAAGAGGTCCCTCTCCTCATCATAACAATGTACATTGTTCATCGGCTTAATACCCTGGAGCAGAGGAGAAGATTTTCAAAGAATAAATGCATTTTCACTGTATAATCATAAGAGCCCTGCCCCAACACCAGAACCCCTGTCCCACGGGCCATGAAATTCACAATTTTGGAAGAGGTCCCCCTCCTCCTTATAACTATGTACTTTAATCATCAGCTTTATACCCTGGAGCAGAGGAGAAGATTTTCAAAAAATTAATGCATTTTCACTATATAATCAATAGAGCCCTGCCCTAACACCAGAACCCCTGACCTAGGGGCCATGAAATTCACAATTTTGGAAGAGGCCCCCCCTCCTCATCGTAACTATGTACTTTGTTCATCGGCTTAATACCCTGGAGCAGAGGAGAAGATTTTCAAAGAATAAATGCATTTTCACTGTATAATCATAAGAGCCCTGCCCTAACACCAGAACCCCTGTTCCAGGGGCCATGAAATTCACAATTTTGGAAGAGGCAACCTTCCTCATCATAACTATGTGTTTAGTTTGTTTGCATAATACCCAGGAGCAGAGGAGAAGATTTTTAAAGAAATAATGCATTTTCACTATATATTCAACAGAGCCCCACCCTAGCACCAGAACCTCTGACCCTTGGGCCATGAATTTCCCAATTTTGGTAGAGGGCTCAATGTTAATTACAATTATATCAGCAGTTTGACTACTTGATGTCCAGGAGTAAAGAAGATTTTTAAAGATTTCATTAATTTTTGTGGTTTTGGCCCCACCCCTCAGGCCCCAGGGGGCAGGGACCATGAAATTCATAATTTGTGTTCCCCTTCACCCATAGGTACTATATGCCAAAATCGTGTGAAATTGGTTGAGCGGTTTCAGAGAAGAAGCTAAAAATGTTCAAATGTTAACGCACATAGCACGTCGATGGACAAAAACAGATAGCAATAGGTCACCTGGGTTTACTCAGGTGACCTAAAAAGGTAATTTTGAACGTCTTTTACAAGTCTCCAGTTCATATCTTAAACCGTTCCTTAGATCTTTAGAGGACAAAATTTAATTTTAAAATCAGAAAATTGTTCATAACTTGGCACAGAAACTGAATTTACAAAAAACAAGGAATTTTATATAAAATTCATATAAAGACCTTTTATCCCTGAAAATTTCAAAGAAATTTATTGAATAGTTTTTGAAAAATCGTGTGCGCAAAATTTTGTCTGAAAAAAAAAAGAATAATAAGAGGAGAAGATTTCAAAGAATAAATGCATTTTCACTGTATAATTGTAAGAGTCCTGCCCCAGCACCAGAACCCCCGTCCCAGGGGCCATGAAATTTACAATTTTGGAAGAGGCACCCTTTATCATCATAAACCATGCGCCTAGTTTATCTTCTTTATATAAAGGGGGAGAAAAGAAGATTTTCAAAGAATTAATGCATTTTAACTATATAATCATTAGAGTCCCGCCCTAACACTAGAACCCCTGACCTAGGGGCCATGATATTCACAATTTTAAAATAGGCCCCCTCCTCATCATGTACTTAGTTCAGTGGCTTAATACCCAGGAGCAGAGGAGAAGACTTATTCAAGACCTCTTTTCAGTACTCAGGTGTACACCTATGGAATGAACTTCCCCAACACATTAGACTCTCTCAATCTCTACGAGCATTTAAGTGTAATGTACAAAATTACATTATCAGCTGTCGTACAATTATCTGAGCACATATAAGTTTTTGATATTCTATCTACAATGTTATATGTACATATTACCAGACATGGACTCTCTATTCATAATGTTCTGATTGTAATTCCTTATGACTGTTACATGTTGAATTGTATATTTACATGTGTATTTGTATCCTTTGTAATTGAAATATAGAAGGCCCAGGGGAAGAATAGATCATGCAGGTTACCTTCTTTAAATAAAATATTATTATTATTAGTAATTGTTCATTACGTTTTCGAACATAATAATTAATCTATTGAGTTTAAAATATGATGTGTAAATTTATTTCCTTTCTTTTCTAGAAATAACCATTAATACACGGACATCTTTGATTTAACTGACGTACCTTAAATTCAAACAAAGCATGCAAATGTTATATGTACTCGGCGAAAACCATCAAACAATCAATCAATACATGCAAGTTTTAAGTAATTTTGGTATATAATGTTCATCTTTGCCACCACTGATTTGGAAAGGAAAGGATCATAAATACAGATAGTTGTAGAAATTAGAATATCTACATTAAAAAGAAAGAAAACTGATATCTATGTGTACAAACTTTCTGATGAAAATATGGTTATTTTTAATAAAAAGAATATACTGAGTAGAATAGAACTAAATTCTCGCATATATTCATTGGTTTACCTACACTACAAATATGGATAGTAAATCCAATGTCTACTCGTCAAGACATTAAAAACAAAACTTAAAGGGAAGTTAGATTAAGCATTACATGTGTTACAACAGTGGGTGTTATTTCAATAGTGGTCACACATATAAAACCGCTATTGAAATAATGTCCGCTATTGAAAGAATTATTATACCCCCCGCTTGAAAAGTGGGAGGGTATATAGTAATTGGGATGTCCTTCCGTCCGTCTGTATGTTGTCCGTCCATCCATCCGTCTGTTAGGCTTTGGGGAACCCATCACTTATCTGCAACTCCTCTTATATCACTGAATGAAATTTAATGAGACTTTCACAGAATCTTTGTTACATAATGCCATTGTGCATCTTCTATTTTACTTTTTGATCTGACACTTATTTCGGGTCTCCCAGAGCAAAACATGGACTTTGCCATTATAATCATATGGGAAGTGGGGGGGGGGGGTATCATTTAGTGAGCTCAGTGCTCACAGTACCTCTAGTTTCAATAGAGGTTGCAGCAATGTACCCACTATTGAAATATCGATCACTACTGAAATAAATATTTCAATAGTGGATATTATTTCAATAGCGGTTTCATACGTGTTGCCACTATTGAAACAACAGCCTCTTATGTTATAACGCTTATACTTAGTTCTCCCCAAAAATTGATTTGAATGTATACCCCAGTATATAAGTGAGAATTTACTTCTATTCTATATCATTTTGATTAAAAATAACCATATTTTCATCAGAAAGTTCGTACACATAGATATCAAGTCTATAATAAAAAGATTTTGCCTAATTAAATGAAGCTTATAGGGAATGGGGCACCAAAATGGTGTAAAGGGAGTGTTTTGGGAACATCTGTAACAGTC